TCCTGACACAAGCTCTGGATCATATGCACAACTTGAGGTGTCATGTTGCAGAAAATCCAAGCAACACTTAACATAAGGTTGTGAAAAGATTGGGATTGTGACTGTGACATAACAGAAGGTTGTGAATTCAATGCATCACACTTCAGGGTGTCTTTATGTCTGTTTACACAACCACTAGAATTTAGTAATAGCACTCTTCTTGCTACACTAGAGTTGAAATAGTACAAGTAGGTCTGGTTTTCCTGAAAATAAAAGCAGAAATCTGTAAGTAAGCTTGTAAATACACTAAGATGCTGATCTTGAAATGCTGTTAGTCTGGAATGTGACACTTCAAGCTACAACAGTTACTTATATAGTTGCCATGGCAAGTGAGAATAAATGTTTGGTGATTAAATTTGCAGTTTAAGTGTAATCTGGAAAAAGTGTCTTGACGAAAATGTAATTAATAGCTACCATGTGTCTTTCTTAAGGCTGTATTCTCTTTGGTGAGTGACTTTTGAAAAGCAATATTTCACTTTTCTGGGGACTCTGTTGGTAAATTATATCAAACTGATCAAATGGCCAAAACACAAAGTGATCAGAAAAAATTAGTTACTTCCTAGAAAAGTAAACTTTGCTGTAGATTTTGTCACTTAAATTTTTCAGCTAACAAATGAGGATGGTTTGACTACAAAGTGCTTGAAGCTTGGGAAAATGCAATTACCAAACCTGAGATTTTCTAAGAGCTGAATCCAAGAAAATTTCCCTTAACTTTATGATGTTTCCACCTTAACTCAGTCCACCCTTTTTTTCCAATCTGGTCAACCCTCTTTTCTGGGTGCTACAGACCCATCCCACATCAGACCCATATCTAATGAAACTCTGGAGACAAGGGGGAAATGATGATGGACATGTCAACATGGACTCCTGCCTCCTGTAAGGGTGGTGAAGATGTTGTGTAAGCATATTTCTGACAATCAGATGCATAGTACTTCTTTCCAAAACATATTACTGGCATTTTGGATTTGCAAAGTAGAGAGAGGATTGGGAGAAAATTATATCTCTGCAAAGGAGGTCAATAAGAGAAAGGATTAAGGTGGCACACAGAGGAAATTGCTCTGTCTTTCCTTACCCTCCCCTCCCCTCCCTACCAATTTTTACCAGAATAAAAAAATTGCTTGGTAATTTTACTAACTTGCACTCACCTAACCCTTTAACTCCCAGAAGTGATCAACATGAAACTTCTCTCTACAATATCCTTACATTATCTAACAAATAGCTAATGAGAATACTCAAACTTATCAGGTGGAAGTTATCTTTATCTAACACTAAATTCTCATAAGGGATGTGTCGAAAGAAAATGTCCTTGACGACTTAGACTTTGGTAGCAACTGTAATATTTATCACCGTAAAGCTCTTTTTGTAACGTTTTTACATTTCAGAATACTGTATACCTGCAATATAATTTAAAAGAATATGTGTAGCAGCTAGAGGGGAGAATTAACAATCAGATCTTGGGAGTTAAAAGGTTAACATAAGTGTGATCAGAACACAATTTCTATAATTTATTTCTGAATCATTCATTAAGATCATGGGAATAAAGGAAATGATTACTAACTTAAGAAGCTTTGATTGTTAAACAAATTCTCCTTGTCAGTGCCAAAGTAAATGTATGGAGAGGAGTATGGAGAATATGGATACTGATGTTAGGCTGTGAAGGGTTAAGAGACACCTGCAAAGTAGGCTAATTGTTTTTCATATAATTTATTTACTTGTCAATGGCTTAAACTTCTCTTCATCAACATTACAGATAATTCTGGAAAAGCATGGGGAAAAAAAATTAACTTTTGCACACAACATAGAAATATTTGTTGAAGCTTAAAAATACATTAATGTATGGGCTTTAATATTTTAAAAGTCTGAAAGTTTTCTGACACTTTTGTGTCTGTGCATAATGTGAGAGCAAAACTTTGTTTCTTGGGAGAATGCAATGAAAATCTAGTTCTTAAATATAGAATCTTACATCTATTTTACACATATATTAGCTTTTTAAACTGTCAATAAAGAAATGAAGTCTATCTAGACCCTCTCTTAGTGTGGTCTTTTCTTCTTGAAGTTTCTTCTTGGCTTGGACAAGATTCTGAAGAGAAAAAATGCTCTTTAAATGGATTGAATGAAGTTTACGTAACAGATATGGCAAAACAATTAAACGCTTTAAGTACTTCCAATCAATTCTCTTAAGCATGGTCATCAGAGAAAATAGCAGGCAAAACAAAGGCTACTGTAAAGCATCCTCAAAATGTTTTGAAATCTATATGATAACATGTGCTTGATGCAGGATGTAGAAGGTCAAAAATATATGAGTTAGTAATACTGTAATGATGAACTCACAGGACTGGTTATTTCAACAAAGTTTAACCATTGTTTAACAAAACCGCATTCTAAGCCATCTCTAATTGAGCCAAATCCTTTATCTGAACATTAATTTTTGTGAACTGTGTCAAGAGAGCTGAAAGCTAATAAAGGAAGAAATCCCTGAGGTGCACTGCTTTCGCGGTTTGGGTTTAACCTCGTGTAAATAACCAACCCACAGTGTTTGAGCAACCATCATAGAATAAGCAGTTTAATCATCTGAACAAGGCCAACACAAAGAAAGAGTTGAATTGTGTTGGATTAATTTCATTCTATCAACCTTCTAAAGAATCATAATTATTAACATCTTTAAATGGTTAATATATCTCCAAGAGGTGCATATATATTGTGTCTTGGAGCACTTTTAAATTAAGCGTCATAAAACCAAAATCAAATCAATCAAAATTATAACAAACAATTAGAACAAAGCTTGAGACAATTAGCACACAACAATTAGCAAACAACAAGAACTTAAAACAAAATAAATGCATAAAAGTTATCAAGTTTTCAGTTTGTTTCATTGCTTCTGGATGAAAGAGAAAACTGGACAAGTCTCTAAGACCAATCACAGTCAGTGGTAACATAGACTCAATGCAGCCTGCAATTACTTTTAACCCTTCATTAAAAATTGCTCCATGCCCAGCTACTAACTTACCGTCATTTGGAGATTAAGAGCCTGTGCCTCATCATTCAGGGAAACATTTTTGGATTTTAACAAATCAGCATTGTCTTGGAGAACACCTATTTCCAAATACCTCTCTGCAACAAAAGAGTTGGAAGATAAACAAGACAACATAAGTACGAAATGGAAAAAGGAAAAGACTGTGCACAAGCCATGTGGCTCACATTGAAGAGCTTATTCCAGTTTCAGGGTCAGATCAAGAGGGAAAGAGTTGGGGAAGGGGAGGGGGGGTGTGTGTTGTGGTCTAAACTTCTTTATCAGACCTGTGTTTTTTCCTTTTATTGCTTGTTTCAAACCAAAGTTCTTACTTCAACAGTATTGCTAGATTACTTTGTAACTTGAAATATTTAAATTTTAGTCATCTTGAAATATTTCTTAGCTTACTTGGGTTACAGTGTAAATAGATCCTATCAAGGGAAGAATCTGCTAGGACTTAATCAGTTTAATTTTAAATAAATAATAGCATTCTCCAATTGTGATTACAACTCCAACTCTAACTACAGCTAAACCAGCCATCCAAGAGTGATCTTACACCTCAGCCAATTCAGAGGGTGATTTTACATCAATTCAACAACACTTTGTGTGTTAAATTTCAAGAAGAATCCTACCTGCCGCATGTGCGTAATAGGATTGCATGACAGCCTCAATTCCAGACCACTTGTACCCTTCCTTTCCTTGGGATGATGACTGCTGCCCCTCATCCTAAAAATAAAAGTTGAGAAACCACACCAAGTTACTCCTAAACTTAGGTTTGGCCTCTTCTATATGGGTACACTTCCTCTCTCATCGTTTTTCCTCAATAGTGCATTGCTTAGCTGTTTACAACCAAAAGCTTCACAAGATTCTTTAACAAATTTCTTGATAAATTGAGTTTACAGCAAGATTCAACAATTAAGAAAACGTTATATTAAGTGTATGTTGATGATAAAAGATTTTAGGGTCACATCATCAGAAATAAAAATTAAAACCCTGTGATAATTTACCTAAAAGTATTACAAAAAGTGTAATCACCTGGTCATGTGTCACAAATCTATCTTAGGCTGCAACACAGATGTGAGTATTTTTTTTAATTAAAAAGTGTACCACAGAACAAATTTTTTGTTTAATGATTTTGGATGGCAATAATCAATTTGAGAGGGTTATGCCATAATATCTTCAATCTTGTCAAGGCAGGAACAAAACTATCCTCACCTTGGAGGGTTCTCCTTGTTTATTTCTAATGCTATTCTGCTGGTCTGACAAGGGTAATGGTCCAAACTGACGTCCTTGTATATTGGTTGGGTGCTGTGAGAGGTAATCTCTTGTCTCTTGTTCACTAAAAGTGATCCCCACACTTCTCAGGGGCTCTGGTCGAATAGGCTGTGTCACAGTTCTGTGGTCAGCCCTGGCATGAGAGGCAACATTCCCATGCTCATGTGAGATTGACAAGAGCCCTGTATGCCGAAGATATGGCGGACGAAATTGTGATGCACTGATGTTGTTAAAAGGATCTTCCATATTTGTGAGTGATTGAAGAGTTAGACGAGGGGGGACATGGTTAGAACTACTGCTCATTGTAGGACTTTGTCGAAATCTTTCATCACTGCTGCGACGAAAGGGTCTATCAAATGGATATGAAGGAATCCTTTTTTCAGCTTCCTCAAGTTTTATATTAACTGGTTGTTGTTTTTCTAGATCTTTGTTTCTGTTTTCTTTTCGTTCCTGCTCCTGTAGTAGCTGTTGCTTTTGTCTAGTTATTGGTCCAGTTATTGTGTCTGGGTCCAAAGAGCCTTGGCTGTTGTCAGAATCTCTGTCATTCTAGAATAAAAACAGAATGATTACACAGTCAATCAACAACAACCTTCCTCTTTTTTTTTTGTCTGGAAACAGAGCTGATCAATGCAAAAAAGGACTGCAGATAACACAAACCAAACTGGCCCTTTTCAAAGAAATCCCAACATAAAATCATATTAGAAAATTAAATTAAATTCCAGAATCAATCAGTCCAGCAACTATATTGAGTATTGATCCAGGGTTTATGTCCTTAGTTTGATATGACACACTAACCTCCTTATCCCTTCGTGCTCTTTTTGGAGGACGGCCCCTACTTTTGCGGTTCTTCCTCTCATTTCTTTTGACCTCGTATGTTTGCTCCAGCTCTGCAGGGAAGTAATCAATATGAAGTAGTTGCATTCTGGGGATCATACATGGCTCAAGCTAACATTGCAACTCAAATTCACCTGTCATAACTGTTGATTTCAAATTAATAAATTATCAGAGTGTTGTGCTAAACAAGAATTATTTCCACCACATCAAACGGCAACTTGACTCTAACAATGCCTTTCCTGGCCCAAAATTAT